TTCAATACACTTGTTCAGATTTAATTTCTCTAAAATGATGAGAAGTACAAAATAAAAAAGAAAAAAATTATCTACTATTTTAATTTGGATTAAAATAATTTTTAAATTGATGATAAATAAACTCTTATTAGTTAAATCCACTTGCTCATTAAGAATTTATAATTTTTAAACGTGTTGGTTATAATAATATACATGTTCTTCTACTTTAAGTTATAGATAAGATGCGTTTATATGGACAGAAAAGGAAAAATATACAAAAGTCGTAATCGTTTTAAAATGGGTAGAATCATACATCCTTTATGCATGGCTAAGCAATTAGACTTTACATTTTTTGTTGTGAGAACATATATTATGGCTCTATCTTAGCCAAAAGGTTTACAATTGAAAGGTATATCCTGTAATGTGATGGATGTAGAATAGAAGATACATTCAAAGGTATATCCTAACGTATATATTCTCCTAATTGAATGGCATATTATAGCAGAAAGTATCTGTGTCTTCATGGCCTGATAAAGCTTAATTTTTATGATGTGTAAAGACCAATATCGAATCTTGTTTTTTATTAAAGGACTAACTAATGGAGTTAAGAAAAGGAGAGCTTGCCTTCTGTGTAAATGGAAGAAAGCAAAAACATAATAGAAGACCGGAACACAATCATGAGATTTGAATAATTCAATGGAAATTAATTTATGTTAATGACATCAATCACATTGTTTTTCATTTTCACTTCCATGTTTTTCACAAAAATTATAATGATTTAATTACATGTATGTCTTCAGTATCTTCGTCGACAAAAAACAAGCAAATTGTATTTAATAAAATTCATGTTCAGTTTTGGTGTGCTCTTATATTTCTTTCTAAATTTGTTCCCAAATTATCATTATAAAAGTAAATGTTATTTATTGACAAACAGAAAAATTAAGTGTTAAAACTATCTGTATTGATACAAGAAATTGTCTAACAAGCTATACTTTTTATATGTAAGTATATATTAATATATGATGACATTTAATAATTAACGAGTGTTGGTTTAAGTGGTGCATATTTTTAATTATTTTTCTTTAAACAGATCCTATTTTAGCTCAAATAAAACTGCTTCAAACAAAAGATATCTAATAATACAAACCAAAAAATTATTTAACTTTTATTAGATAAAAATTATATAAATAAAAACTACTCTAATTAGATCATTAATATATGTTGTTCTTCAATGTATATACTTGTCATTGAAACAAAAATAATTAAAAAATAGTTTTACTTTTAAATTTAATTTGTGATACTTAACCAATTAAATTAAAGAACTAATAAATTCTTATTGTGTTTTCCAGATCAAAATTTAAAAAATATTCAACAATTTTTATAATGTGAATTTAAGAATAAACAATAAAAATCTGTGTATTAATAAGATTTTATTAAAAATTAAATGATATTAAAAACTTAATCCATGAATAACATTAAATGTTATAATTTTTTATTTTATTATTATATTTCTTTAAACAAATATTTTAAAAAAATCACAATCAATGTCATGATGATACAATTTCACCGTTGCACGTGGATGAAGATTGAAGAATAGGATTTGTCTGTATATTCTTAGGGTTCGTTCTCCTTAGTTAATTACACTGGTAAGGCTATAGTATCTAGATGTCTTTGCATTTTAATAAAAAGAAAAGGAGAATAAAAAGGGAGCAAAATAGACAAGAAGAATCCATCGTGTACATATATCATTTATTTTAGACCAAGCTAAAGAATTACTCGAAAGATTGTGCCAACTTTTATCCTAACTTTTCTTCATGTATAATGCTATATAAAGGCAAAGTTTTTGTGCATAGGAACACCACTGATCTATCAAGAAAGTACTGCTAACCATGGAACTTTAGACTGGAGCAGCATTAAATTTAGAGCTTAACTTTAGTTGACTCTAACAGCAACCCTCAAATTGTAAGAATCTCTTCAAAATATGTTGCATGAATAAACCCTACCCCATAGCCAAATGCTTCCTCTTTAGATAAGGCCATGCTTTAAAGCGTTCAGACACTTAATCTTAAATGCATTGCAATTATTGAAGTTTTTATTTATTTCCCAACTAAATCCATGGTTTTATGCCAGCTTAAACTAAATTTAATTCACCTCGATAAAAACACATGGAATTGAAGTTATAATCATTTTTAATCCCTTATTGAAAATTTTTAGCCATAAATTAATGGGTCATTGTTTATATTATGATCTGATTAATGGAAGAACTTTACAAGGCTGTCTTATAGTTGAATAAACTAGTTAGTAACTTAGTACCGATCGAGTCACAACTTCTTTTGATGAATGGAAGCATCGATCCAATCATCAGGTTACAATGTATATATGTAGATGCCAACAATTATCTTTTCTGCTTTTATGATTGCAAAATAAAAAGAACATGCACGAACTCACATGAATCAAAAGAAAGATCAATTGTAGAAATAAGTGCCATATAGCTGCTTTCAATATTAAACCATGTTTAAGACAGGTGTATGTGTATTTCTAAAGCAAAGCAAGTTGGTCAGTAGATTCCCGTTCCCTACTTATTTAGAAAAGAAGGCTTTAGCACTTTAGACAACAACATCATACTCAGCCATTGTATGAAGATTCGCTCACACACATTTATATTCAATGAAGGGGTTCCATCTTTTCTGAGTATTATACATTTTTCAACTTATAGTGCACGTACTTCGTATATATATATTTGTATTGGACCAAAATTCAATCAACCTAAGTCTCCTTTTAATTATACTATGACAATCCACATTGGAAGTTGGAACTTCTATATTGGAAGGGTAAATTTCAATATAAAACTTATTGCCTTTGAATAATTAGCTTTGAATCAGATGAAAAGTAGAGGTTTCATACCCTCAACAGTAAAATCATACAGTATTTGAAGTGATAAATCATTTATTAGTTCATATAAGTAAATAACCATATATTTTATCATAGCGAATTTAACTGTAGTTTGAAATTTAATTATATCATACCGAATACAACAAAATTAATCACATTTTATACTGCAAAATACATGATTTTTTATTTATATGGATGATACTAGTTTAATTACCACATCAAATATCACATAATTTTAATGAACATGAGTCGAAATTAATCAAATTTAAACCATCAATCTACATGTACGGCCACTACTCATTTTGCAATTAATCCACACATTAAATATAACAGTCATGAAATTTTTTAAGAATCTATCAGCAAAATCAACACATAACGACAATCAAATTCTCAAGGAATCACCACTAAATTTGCAAATACACCCATCATTAAATTACATAATATCTCCCCTATTAATAGCATTATACCCAAAGCACCAAGCAAATTGTTTTCTCAAATAAGACAAGAAATGCAGATAAATTATTTCAGTCTCAAGCCATCTTAAATTACTAAGCGTTTTGTAGTTTTTTTTTAACATATTTTTATTAACAATTATAAAAATATTTTTTAAACATGTTTATAAGAATATACAATAAAAATTTATATATAACATTTTTTTATTAAAAACTACAAAATTAAATGCATTAATAACATTAAATATTGTAATTTTTAATAAAATTGTCACTTTTTAACTTTTATTGTATATTGTTTGACACACATTAAAAAACTATTATAAAAATAGTATATTTATTTTAGATTATTTTATTTTAAAGATTTTCTAATGAACTGATGAAAATAAAGATAAAGAACCATTCCCCCTAACAAAGCATATGTTTTGTTTGTTCAATAAAGAGAGTCTTATGAGACCCACTTTTTTATTGGTCAAACTCTATGGCTTCCTTTAGGCATATGATGCATATATAGCAACGTTGTGTCTAAGTTTTTACTGGATTTAGCAGTCCTATCCTACTAGGGGCTCAAATTACTAAAGTGGATATGGACAGTGATTACTGGTTAGTGGTGAGAGAAATGCTACTCACTCCACAAATTATTGAGACAAATTGGGTCATCTGAAATAGTTAGTGGATACTTCTGCCATTTGTGAGATATGTCACAAACTCACAGAGCAACTCTTTCAATTTAATTAATAATTGAATTGATAGATTGGAGTGATTGGTAATTGAGTGTAGTGAAATAAGGTATTCAAAATATTATTTGAGTTCTAATGGAAACAGAGTGGCATATGAGAAAAATGGGAATAATTGAAGAACAATTTGTTAAAATTTTTTGGAGGGTACAATGTAATTGAGTGATCCAACCCAGCCATCGTTTTCACAGTGTATTAATGGAATTAGAAGCAAAGTTAATGAAACCATTAGATGGGTCACAAGATCTATATATAATTAAACAATGGGTTATATTAATTAGTATCTTTGAGATATTGGTTAAAAATATAATAAATGATAAATTCTATTCAAAATTTATATTAAATACAATAAAATTTGCAAAAATGAGTATACATTTATGAATTTTTTTTAAATAAAAATCTACTTTAAATTTTGTAACTAATGCTAAATACATGTAACAATTTTTTAATGTGTATATTAGGATAAAAAATAAGAAAATCCAAATGTAATAAATTTTTATCAAAAATCAGATTATTTAATTTTTTGGTGAACAAAATTAGGTATCTTATATCCTCTATCCCTTGCATTTTGCTTCTTCTTTTTTTTTTTTTGTTAAAGAAACCAAAGGGACTCACATTTTTTAAACCTTGAAATGGGTACTTGAAGCCCAACACAGTATAGAGCTAAAAAATAGTAGGAAAAGGCCCACGTCACGAGTTGAAGCTTCTCCACTTCCTCTGTATTGTGGTTCACTATCTCTCGCTATTGACAAGAGGCTCAAGCTTCCGGGCAATTAGGTGAACTCACAAACTAGTTTCAACCATTTTAGTATTCTGCATATGATTTAAAATATTTGTAATCTTTATGTTGCTTTATTATCCAATTAAATATTTTTGCTTCTAATTGCAATTTTGTCAGCATATAATATATTGGATTTTATTTTTGGTAATAGGATAATATATTATTTAGCTTAAAAAATATATAATTTTTCCTTTGCAAATATTTTTCTTTGCTCAATTTATGGAAGAAGCGTAATCGAATATTTGTGAACAAGAAAAGAAGGTATTTTTCAACCAAAATATAAATATTATTCATTTGGGGAAGATGAAGATGAAGTTGAAGGAGGCATTGCAGTTTCCTCTGATGTAATCCACATAAAAAGCTTCTGAAAAAACAACTCCATGATATTTGTGATTGATAAAATGGTAGAATAAGTAGTGCTCAAGAATTGTTACTTCATATATTGGTCCAAAGAAACCTTGTTGGTTATCTTAAGAGCAATGTGATTGAGGAAGCCAGCAAGTTGTTTGATATAATGTCTGAAAGATTTACAACAAATGTGTACCTGTTTTCTTGAATGATCTGTATGTGAGACTGAGGTAGAATTCATCTGAGAGTAGGCATTCTTGCCTTTTAAATTATTTACCGTTGTTTCACCTTAGCTTGTAAAATAATGTTATTCATGTCAGTATTGCTGTGAGAAAAATGAGTGTTTGAATGCTTGATTGTTTATCATGTTACCACCCTATTCATGCAACCAATTTACCTTGCATCTAGTTTGCTTTTTTTCTTTAGTTAAAATGTGAGGGCTAGATTGACATAAGATACTTTTCTGGTGATTCTTGACTCAAGCAATCCAGTGGTCAACCATATGTTCTGTGATTAATAGTGAAAACACATTTGAGACTTACTATTGAGGAGATAATTCAGTTATTTCCCCTAGATTGATTCTACTAAAACATAACTTTTGCTCTGTATTTGGCATTTCTAGTTCTAGGAAAGAAATAGAACTGTTGATTCAATTGTGTTCGCCGAAATAGAACTGCGCTTTTAAAGAAAATCCTTACTGATAGTGTTCTCAGCATGCTAGAAATTACTGGGAACCTTTATTATACCTGTCTTAGACATGTGCTTTCCAGATTGTAGGTTCTTCTGCGGAGAATCTATGGAGCAGTTCATATTTTGTTAATTGAAGTTTATTACTTCTTTTCTTCATTTGATTTGTCATTCATGCATTTGAGATGCTACGCGTTGCTTATGTTTCACTACTTGTTTTTGTTTATGATATTTCCAATTTATACAACTTGTATGATTTTAGATATGATATTAGAAAATAGAAACATTCTAGTCTGGTTTTAGTACAACTAGTTAAAAATTGTCCAACATTTGCTAGTAATAACCAAGATGCCACATGTTAAGGAAAAATGTTAATATGAAGTTGGCATGTGTAGAAACTTGGGCAGATTTATTATAAAATATATATTGAGATTAGTCAGCTTTTATACACACTTGGTTTAATGCTACTTCTCTCCTTCATTGGCTTTACAAGCTTGAAAACAAAAGTTATTTCTTCCGGATCTAGTTTTCAAGCACACTATTCAGAACATCGTCCAAGTATTTCATTTTCTATGCTTCTTTGGAAATATGTTTTTATGTTGGTTGATCATGGAACTAACTCTATTTTCTCTTTTAAACATACCACTTTTCTAGTTTTCATTGAAATTATAACATGAACATGAACAATGTAATCCATATTAAATTCTTGATACTACTATTATTATTCTACAATTCAATAATTCTTCTTTTGTATATTTCATGTATATCTGTTGTTCTTGATGGTATGAATTATTCATAGCCTGATATGTAATATTTTACATTTACCAACTTTCCTAGGGAGACGTTCTTTATCGTGTGAACTTCATAATTCTTGATAGAAGAAAGGCTAATGGCACAGTCAACAAGCTTGATCACTGTAGGCCTCAGATTTGGTCCACTTCCTAAAACCAGAGTCAGTGTGTGTGGAAGGTTTATATCCAGATCTCCACCAGGGCTTCGCATCCGGGCTGTGCAAGAGAATGGTGGACCACGTAGACTGGTAGACATTATTAGACTTGTGCCCGAGCTTTCAAGGAATTACTTTAAAAGTCCTTCTCGCAGGACTTTGTTTGGTGGAATCTCCTTGTTAGGTGGATTTTATGTTGCACAAACAATTTCTCTGTCTTTTGGAGCTCTAGGAGTAAATGATGTTATTGCTGCAGTGTTATGTGTTCTTCTTACAGAATATGTGACTAAGTTCTATTACAGCCGACCGAAAGTTACTTTCCCAGTTGCTCTTCTCAACAACTTTAAAATGGGTTTTACCTATGGACTCTTCATTGATGCCTTTAAGCTTGCCAGTTGATCTTTAACATCAATGCAACTTCTCAAGATTCCTTCTTAGGTGGTCACTCCAAAATTGGTTTGGTTTGTTTAACCACCATGCTTGTACATGTCAAAACTGGTTAACATCTAAATGCAACTTTTCAAGATACATCCTTACCTGATCACTCTCCGAAATTGGTTTGGTTGCGTTTAATCACCAAGCTTGTACATGTTCTAGAACCATCCTTGTATGACTTGTATATCAACCGTAATTCATGTAATCCATAACACATATCAATTATTTTTCCATTTTTTTCATCTATTTCTTTTTCTTGGTAATTTTTCATCCTTGTATGATCCTATGACCATAATCTGATTACATTTTTTTATTTATATGGACCTGGAGGGGTAAATGGTTACATAGGGAGGATAACTCTGAAGAAACGATTTTCTCATATGATGGATCAAAACTGAATTTACTTGCTACCAATCTATCAAAAAGGTGCATGTCTGGCTCTACTTTGTTGCTCAAATAGTTGCAAATTGAATAGTTATTGAAACATTTTAGAAGTTTAAGAAAAAAAGATGTATTAGTTTTAGTGAATAAGCATAGAGTAGAGACCAGCATTAGGATTCAACATTGTTTGTCAGCATTAACTCATGACAGATAATGTTTGGTCATCAAACACCTCAACCTCAGATTACGGCAAAGATATATATTTGATTTAATGGGCATGATGTTTCTTGCATTGTTGATATCATCTTTATGAATGTTAGGTGATGGTATTAAATCTCTGGATATTTGGTCCTTATCAATGTCATGTAAAGATTCTTCTAAACATGAATCAGGATCCAAAAAAAAAAAAAAAAAAGGAAAAAAGAAAACACAAGTTTGATTTGATTATCTAGGTGGCTCGGGAGAAAAGGTTGGATGTGATGACAAAATAACTAAAATATAAATATTAGGGGCGTGCTTCGTTGATGTAATATTTATTAAAGAATCTGATTTCTTCAACTTCTCTTCCATAGTTCAATAAATTATAAAATATTAGAGATATAAATTACAATATCGTAATACCTCTACCACGTTTAGCATTTTGCAATCCTAAATCAAAGTTTGCTTTATGGTGAATAAATAAATAAATATGAAGAAAATTTATTTGAAGGCTTATTTATTTTACATTTTGAAATTAGTTTCTTATACCATATACTGATACACATACTGCAATACAAATTTTTAAGTATAATTAATTTAAATGTATTTAAAATAGATTTGATATTTAAAAATGAATTTTAGTAAATTTGAAACAGTGTGTTTTCAATGAAGATTAATTTAATTTAGAAAGGAGTGAAGCACGTTAACTGGTGATTGAGGTGTCCAAACAAAATTAAAATAAAATGGCTGCTAATCCGCTGTCAGGATGCTATCCTCACCAGCAACAGCAATCACACTCGCGTTTCCTCACCCAATAAAACCACCAATTTCTTCTCTTTTTTTTTTATTAAATTTGTAATGACAATTATTTCATATTAAATAATAGTAAATTAAAGAGATAATTTTTTAGAATAAAAAAAATATATATATTTATTAATATAAGTTTAACTTTGATTTACTTTAAAAATTTTACGTTATTAATTAATTGAAATGTATATTAGATATAATTTTATATTAATTGTTGTAAAAGTCAATAATTATTATTGATATGATAATTTATGATTATGTGAAAGTGTAAAAATAATTATATATTTAAAATATTTATATTAAATTGTGTTTGCATAGTATGTTAAATTTTAAAATTTAAATTATTGAACATTGTGATTTTTTATAAATTTTAGTTAAAAATAAAATAACAATAAAAAACTATAAAAAATAATATCTTCTAACATAATAGCTGCACTACGTCACAAGGAAAAGATGAAATGTACATAAAAGCATTTTGTATTGAGCTTTAATATTGGTCAAATCGCCTCTTACCTTATTCGTATTTCTAAAAATATAAAAAAATGTGCTGATGTAATATTTTTTGTAAAATTAGTTAATAATCTTTTAAATGAGCCTGAGTGAGTGTAAAAATTAAAACACATCTCTTTAATTTAATATAATATATTAAATTTTTATTCAAAATAAAATTAAAATTAATAATGTATTTGCATACTACACAAGTATTATTAAATTAAATTAATATTTATAAGTTATATATAAAAGTTAATATTTTGTTTAAAATAAACACTAAATTTTATAATATATTAAAAAAATAAAATTCAGAATTATCCTGCAAAAATACTCCGTTAAAAATGAAAAAGGTAACCCCGTATCCAACGCAAAATATATAAGTCAACTTTAGATGGCATAAAATAAAAAAAGATTGTCTAAATTATAAATATTTTTTGAATTTATTAGAATTATTATTTACTATAAAACTTTATTTTTAAATATTTAATACAAAAGTTTAAACTGAATCAATTATGGTTAAGTTAATTCATTTACTCGCTGTGCAATAAAAGTTTTTTGCATTGAGCATGAAAAATGTTAGCAACCTATTTTTTTAATATATATTTTTATTATTAGTTAAAAATTTATTAAAAAATAAAAAATAAAAAATTAATATGAAAATAAAAAGTGAAATCTGTAATTATTTTTAATAAATTTAAATTAATAATAAAAATATATTAAAAAGTATTTTGAAGTAGGGATGGGATTGTAAGGAAGTAAACTAAAAAAGAAAAGTAAAAAGGATGATGTATTTGCAAAGCAAGAAGGGGGACACGTGGCTAAGGTTGCTGTCAGCGCTGGAACGACGTGGTCCCCACAAAGAGGCCACGCGTTTCGCGGATTTGTGCTGCTCAAGTGCGTGTCACGTGGGCCACATTTTTCTTTGGTTGGTTCCCTCGGAGGCTATGATAACCTCACCTGTCACCCCCAAACCTTCACTCCGAAACCCGCTGTTCCCGGTTGCTCTCACACCCTCTCGCCCCACACCACACCCGCTTCCGCCACCGGAACACCCGGTTTCCCCCTCCACGTGTCCCCGTGGACCCACAGGTAGGTGACGTCATCATTACCCTTTTCTCTCGAAGTGGAAAAATAAAATTAAATAAGGCAAAGTGCACTTTGAGGACTCGAGACTTAAAAAGACCAAGACTTTCTTCACACTGTTACTATTCTTCTCTCTCTCTTTTTCTTTTTTTTTTTTTAAATATTTTTCTATTTTTTTATTTTAATTTTCTCTGTTATTATTGGTGCTGTTGCTATTAATTTCTGGTGCTAAATTGAGAGAACTCTCAGAGAGAGAGAGAGAGAGAGAGAGAGAGGAATCAGATTAGTTCCTTTGAATTTCTATCAGAATCTGAGGACCCAAAATCTAGGGTTTTCTGTTCTTCACCGGGTAAGTGAGTGCTTCGATTTTTCTCTTGATTGATTTGGGGGAATTTCGTTTGATTGCGTGATTCTTTTCTTTCTGAGTCTACGTTGGGATTAGGGTTTTTGGGTTCATTCTTCAAGGCTGAATTTTGGGTTTCTTGTTTTTGAATTTTTTTAATATGTGTCGAAGAATTCGGTGGCTGCATGGCTTGTGCCGTGGGAATTATTGTATGGAATCATGAAAAACCTTTTCTTTTAGAGGGAAGGGGATTTTAGCTGAGCTAGGGTTGATTGTGAATGTGGGGGATGAGGGGGGAGAATTGGGGGTTTTAAGGGTGTGTTGACTGACAATTTTGGTGAAAATTTGTGAAACTGACCTTAGTAGGTTGTGTTTGGTTGTCTGGCCGACAATTAGACTGCATATGATGGTCTGTCCTGTGATTTTGTTTGGTTGTCTGTTTGACTAAAATTGTAGCATAGTGTTTGAATTCTATTCCCCTGATTTATATCTACAGCTGTAGCTATCATTTGAAAGATGTTGTCTTTCAAGAGTTACAACTCTAGTATGGTTAAGTGGACACAGAATGAATACCAGTTTTGTAACTTATTGCTGGTGAAGAATATTTATTGTTTGTTTTCATGATTAATGATGATCAGTTACACTGGGGGTTGTTGGGTTCTTTAATCATGTATTTATTATGGTAAGATTAGATTTAACCTTAGGAAGCTTGTCAGTGTTCTTTTAGTATCAGCAGGCTTTGTTCTTAGCATAAGGAAAAAGATTTGTATATTACTATGTATACTTCTTTTGTAGGGATCTAAAGATGCAGTCCAAGTCTGAAACTGCAAACCGACTGAGGTCAGATCCTCATTCTGTTCAACCCAGCAGCGTTTATTCTGAGCCTTGGTGGCGCGGTATTGGTTACAATCCCATTGCCCAAACAATGGCTGGGACAAATCCATCAAATTCGTCTCTTGAATGCCCTAATGGTGATTCTGAATCCAATGAAGAAGGCCAGTCTTTGTCCAATAGTGGGATGAATGAGGAAGATGATGATGCCACTAAAGATTCCCAGCCTGCTGCTCTGAATCAATCAGGTGCTTTAGAGTATCATGTTACTATTTACAAACGATTAAATAAGAGAGCATAAGCAGATGAATTGGCACTTCAAATGTTATTTTATGTATTTTTTCGTTCTCTCAAGTATTAATATAATATTCCTTTTTTGGCAGGGAATTATGGGCAAGAACAGCAAATGCAGCATACTGCATCATCTGCGCCGCCCATGCATGATGAATGCCTTACTCAGACGCCACAGCTGGAACTTGTTGGTCATTCAATTGTTAGTTTTTGGCTCTTTGCCTATATTTTTGTTATTTTCCTAACTTATGACTTGGTCCAAAATCCAAATATCAATGGCTTTGCAAATAACATAAATCCTTTCTGATACATGCATATCATTTTGATGAAAAATATGTTATAATAGAACTTTTAGTGGCATGCATTTGTAATAGATGGGAATCCTAGCATTCTTCATTCTTTTGATGCAGGCATGTGCTACAAATCCTTATCAGGATCCGTATTATGGGGGCATGATGGCAGCTTATGGTCACCAGCAGTTGGTATGTGACGTTAATCTGTGTTAATATATGATTAAAGTGTATTGCGTGTATTAGTCATAGTCATAGCAGAATTGCTGATTTCCTCAATTTCCCAAATTAGTCTGATAAGAAATGTGGTTAACTTAATTCTGGAGGATATATTCTTGTCATAATGGTAAATTTATTTCATTCTTTATTTATTCTCTATTGTCTCAATTAAAGCAACAGTGATATTTGGATAACAGTGAGATAAATAACCATATGATATTTTTACTATTAGGGATATGCTCCTTTTATAGGAATGCCTCATGCCAGAATGCCTTTGCCGCTTGAGATGGCTCAAGAGCCTGTGTATGTGAATGCCAAACAGTACCAAGGAATTCTGAGGCGAAGACAGGCCCGTGCTAAAGCAGAGCTTGAAAAGAAGCTAATAAAATCTAGAAAGGTAAAAGTGCACCAGAGCTAACTTGTGTTTATGCATATTTGTTATTTTTTTAACTACTGTAGTTGGGTGCTGCTTTATTATTTGGACAAGTGATATCTAGCCACATTTCACGTGTGAACCATTTGTCTGCTATGTTTCCTTTTACTGTACTAAACCTCGTTGCTCTTGGCTGTGCTTAAAAAAATATTTGGAAGTACATGAGTAAATATTAACTTATCTGTGAAGATTTTCTACCAAGGATACAATGCAAGTAACAAAGAAGCCTAGTAATCTCCTGAATCTTTTAACAAGAAATGCTCCTCAACCTCAACTCATCATAAAACTTTTTTGGATATTAAAAGATAGTAAAATCCCTACAAGAGCAAGAGTTAGTCTGACGGGCTTCCACCTCATACCCCAGTCTGTCCCCTCCCCATGAATCTATTTTTGGGCAATATTCTGCTTGCTTCAAAAAATGATAATTGTCGAAATCCTCAGTTTTGTAGTTGTCTGTTTAGCAATGAATAAGCCAGGGATCTGTTATACACTTGATATGTCATTTGGTTATCACTATATTTTTGTTCTCACTTATCATGAGTACAAATTTATTCTATGTTTGAAAGTGCATATCATACCCACAAACATTGGACATCTTTAGATAAAAAGAGATTCCCCTGGTAATACATACCCATGTACCAAACATAAGCATTTTGCTAGTGTGTAGGCCAAGATGCTTGCACATCAATATCATCCTCAGAAGGATTTTTACATGTTTGAGTATTGGCTTTCTAGCAATGCATCCTGTCTCATTAGTGCTTTGTCATCTTAGAATTTTGAAGTTGACTGTTTCCCTTCTTTTGGGAGATTTAGCCTTTTTTATATTCTGAAAGTCTTCTCTCACCCATATGATGTTGTCTGATAGTTGCTCTGTCTTCATTCTAGAAACTATTTTAAAAATATATCAGTGTGCATGTAATTGGAGAAGTCTGTGTAATACCATTGCAAATTATTCCCTATTTTCTACAAAGAGAAAACAAGGAATCTGGTCCTTAGATGTAAGACTCAACAATAAAGCCTTTGATCTTTGAGCCTTTGCCACCTTTGCAGTAATGTCTATTGAATCTGTCAGTATGCTGAACTAATGATGGGAAATTTTGGTTCTCCTTCATTCCATTGGAAGTTGGAACTTTGGAAAACCTTCATGAACATATATTATCCAATCCTGAAAATCATAAAATGTGAACAAGGAACAGCTTTGAATATAGTGTTTACAAGGATCTGATGTTACAGGCTCAAGGAAGTCAGTACTGTATCCCTATCTGTAAAAATTAGGTTGTCAAACATAAATATGAAGGTGCAGGCAGTGGAAAATGTGTCAGTGCTCAATTTTCAAGAAACTAGTCATGACCTATTGTCTCCCACAATGATTTTGATGTATTGATTTCTGTGGATTCCACTCTAATTTTGCCCGTATATGCAGTTACCTCTGTAGAAACAATATGAATGAAAATGAGAAAAGCAAATAAGGAATTAAGTAGCTTATTTTCCATAAAATTTTACTTATACATGTTGAAAATAATGTTTTGAACGTAAAAGGATTTGGTTCTGCTAGATTACTAGTACTACTGTCTTGTTTATGGTTTTTGGGATCCTTAACTGGGCTTACTAACATCTATTCTACACAGCCATATCTTCATGAATCTCGGCATCAGCATGCTATGAGGAGGGCAAGGGGTAGCGGTGGACGTTTTGCAAAGAAATCTGATGCTGAAGCCTCGAACAACTCAGGCAAGGAAAGGGATAATGGTTCTGGTCCTGTCCTATCATCACAGTCAATTAGTTCATCTGGTTCTGAACCTTTACATTCTGACTCCACCGAAACCTGGAATTCTCCTCACGTGCAACAAGATGCAAGAACATCAAAAGCTCACGACAGGTTTGAAGCACCCAACTATGAAAATGGCAGTGGCTCCTACCATAATCATAATGGTTTGCAATCTTCAACGTATCATTCTTCCTCAGGTGAAAGATTGGAGGAGGGGGACTGTTCAGGTCAGCAACGGGGAAGCCTCGCTTCAAGCCATGCGTCACAGAGGCGCCTTGCTATTCAGTAGACCCCTGCATTGGTGTGAGAGGCCGAGGTTGGTTTGTATCCTAGTGACATATTTGGTGAATACCTTGGTTATCTGTAAACCATTCTTGGCAATATATGTGCCAAGCGGCAAATCATTCTTGGCTTTGTTCTTGTGTTTGTGGTGTGAATGATGGATTTTATGGGGGGAAAAGAATGATTGATGATTGTGGTATATGTGATTTCTCTTGAAGTCAATCAATCGTTCATTCTTTTCTCATTTTTGCATTTTGTACAGAGTTTTAGCGGTTAGTCAACTCCAACCAATCAGAAGACTATGGAGAATCAAACTCTTGATGTACCAACACTCGCTTGACTGGTTTATCTTGTGTAATTCAACCGGTTGTTAATGTTAACATTAGACATCATAGGAGAAAGAACGTGCATTTAGCCACGTAATTTGTTGGCCTTCATGATTTCAATTGTTAGCATTTCCTAGATTCTGGTCTTAGAAAATGTTTTCTTTTTATTTCTTGTTTTTAGTTTTGCTTACGCAACTACTCGTTTGTTCATTTTTGTATTTTTTTACAGGTTTTTTACAAAATTTAAGGGAAAAAAAAAAGGAAACAATGAAATTATGGTAATAATTTTTTAATTAAAAATGGAAAAAAAATGAATGGCCTTGTAAAAGTGGGCTAGGGACATATTCGAATATTTTCTGTATTATAATGAGTGGGAGTATGTATAAAAGGGGAATAAAGGTGCTAGTTTCAGAACATATAATAATTCATTTTATTCCTTCCTGAGTTCTTTTGAAAGATTTTTATGCTTGCAGCTTAGAAAGTGATACTTTGTGCCCATAAAGTATCCTTTTAACACAAATATATTCTAGTTTTTTCATTCAAGTGTTAAAGTAATACGCACGTCTGAGTTTAAAATTTCTACTGGTTGGTTTAATGGTTGGGTCTATCATTCTTTATTTGGTATGATCGGATACATACATGCACACGGTGTCATTTTTTTTCCTTTTTATATTTTGGTAATTTCTGATATGTTTTTCTGTAAGCATTAGTGTAGATAAAACGTATAAATATAAGACCAAGAATTGTGAAAAGAACATTTAAAATGTATAAACGGATTCAACATTATATTACATCTTTTTAGTTTGAATTTAAATTAAAATTCCTATAGTACTCATGAAATTAAGCACTAAGAATAAAATTCATTACTGGTGTAGATATAAAAGTAGTTAGTGCGTCAACACGACTTCAACTACTGGCTTTCATGACCCACTAAAAGAGAAATAATCTTCTCTCTTGTCCTGAAGTATTTGTCCTTTGTCCAACCCCACTTTTTCACTTAGAAAACGTTACTTGGTGAAGCAGCCATATCTTATTTGTAATGTATAAATAAAGGGATTGTTTAACTCATTTTTTTCTAAAAAGTTGTGCCTACGTGGAGAACCAGGTGGGAACCAGGTGGTTATAGTGGAGAGCGGGTTAGTCCTTAAAAAAATGTACTTTTTTATTATTTTTAGGCATACTTCAACTGATTGAGTTAAGCAACTATTACAATGTTAAATGCAGGTCTTAGGTCATCATCAAAGTTAAACAACATGTAATAAATTTGTTTAGAGCAAGTTTAATAATGTATTTTTTCTATTGTTTATATCGGTTATTGATATACAAGACACGGGAAAATCCCATTTTCTCTTCAAGCAACTATTTTAATTAGAAAGAAAGGTAACTATATTTTTATAGTAAAAAAAATGGAGCACTAAGGTTCCTACATCTGTGGCAAGCATACTAAGGCATGTGAGTTATGGTGTTCATCTTTATCTCACTCCAGTATTTGTTTTCCTCTCACAAGTTGAGCGCTTTTGGGACTGGCGAGCATATCTTCCTTTTTCATAACTTCCTAAAAGAATTAAGAAAACAATTATTTAACTTGACCAAACTTACTCTGTCTATTTGAAATATCTCTTCTTCATTTGATACGGATTTGTTCTCACACGAATATCAGCCAATTAAATTATTATACAAATATATTTTCACGTTAGTTTACATAAGCGTTTCGACACATCATGTTGGATTGTTGATTGCGAATACGACCATAAGCACCCCCTTCATATTCTAATTGTGTCTGCGCGCAAAACAAATCTTAAATGAAATTATTCTAATAGGGTTGCTTATAAAAGTGCTTGTGTTCAATTCTTTTTTTTTTATGAAAAATGTTAACCAACACTTTTAAATGCATTTTAACATAATTTTCAATTAAAAAAATATATGTATTGACTCCTTAAGGAGTATCTTAAGAGTACTGGTTATTAAGACACTATTATATTTTTATTTTTTCCCCCCCTAAACACTCGAGGCTCAACAAATTCCGGCTGTAAAATCGAAGGACCAGTCAACTTGAAATGCTTCTTTAACCTAATTCAAGTCATTTTGACATCACCCTGCGTATCAAGAGGCATATGATGTGTATATATACATATATGTAAGAATCGTCTTATGTATAAAGCAATATAATGCGAGAGATGCGCCCCGTCAACCGCATGGAGAAGCACACTAAGGAAGAAAAGTATAATTTTAAGAGCATCGATTGAACGCGCACCTCTTTACTGTTATTATTCATACACGGTACTTTTACACTCAAATAAAAGGAAAATTGTGATCTAGTCACTAGATATATGTCATTTAGGTGTATGAGACTTAACTTTACTCATGCTGTTTTATCTTCACCTGCGTCCTCTATGTTATCAATTACTTCTTCAGTATTATTATACTGTTCCATGAAAGATTTTTCCTCATCACCATCAGCTGGAGCTGCATGCTCCTGTTCGGTTTTGCTAGCTTGTGACGGCGCATCAGCCGACCCTGTGGCATTAGCCACATTTTGTTGCTTATCCATCATCCCAGACAAGGCTAAACTGGGAGACCATTCAAGAACATCATCAATGATGTTAGATACCCTCTTCTGGTACCTGCAGAAAAACGAAAGTAACACACCATAATGGCTAGAAAGAACAACTGCTGCAAGTAGTTTTCCCCTCATGGGTTCATAGATCGCCAACCAGAAATGAATTTAAGCTGAGATGGAACATGGTTATTCTCTGCAAAAGTGTGAAAGGATCAAATTCATCCATAATGTTTAGGACTTACCTAGCTCTGGCAGCTTCATCGGGTGCATGATGCCTCAGCAATAATATCACCAGCACAGCTACCACAGCATAGAAAAGCCTTGTTGTCCACTTAGGCTTTTCCTCTTCATCTTTCTTAGGCCAAAATCTGAATAGCTCTCGCAGGGTTGCTTCCTCAGCAAGGATGTTAGGGAAAAACCAGATTCGCTTTCCAAGGATAATATATAAAGCGCCAAATATTGCACCTCTTACTACAATATTAAAAAAAATTCATGAGGCGCAAGGAACCACTGAAGTAGAATGTGATGCAACTAGCAAGCATATTTCACACGATCAATCACTCTTATCACAAAGTTCTGCCAGATGCCCAAAATGTTAAAAACTATCTGATTCCTTGAGCATTTTAAAACTATTACAAAATATACATTCTAGAAGTCAACGAGTTACAATGTGCAAGCTTGGTTCAGCTTATTTTAAAGAAATAATTGTTTATTTTTGCAACTTTTTGAGAGAGCTTTTGAAGAAGAAAAGAAAAAGATTATCACTCCCAAACATGCTACAAGGTATAATAATCCAAAATAGTTGTAAATTGGGCTAACTTCCTGCTAATATATATATATGGAAGTTAATAGGTGAAAATTTTTAAAAGTTAGAACAAAGGAAATACAAGTAAAAAATTTGAAAGGGCCTTTTCCTTTTTGATAGAGGAATAGCTAATAGGACTATAGGAGATCAGCAAAGATATTGTCGATAACTAAACAATTCAAGTGGGATTGCAAGCAGTATACTTGTATCAGGTTTGAATGTACCCAAAAGCAAACATAATAAACACATGCTAGCAGATTCCATATTGTAATTCACAGATCTCAACCACCAGCTTTCAAGCAATATAGTTCATGAAGGCATATATTTTTCCGTATAGGGTGAGAGTTATTTGATAATAAAAAATTCAATACAGCAGTGGTATCTATTTCCATACACATCTCCATTATTATTGAAAATTGACTGACTCATCCTCTGTTAGGATCCATTTGAAAATATGAGATTCTAATACAGGATTTAAAAGGCCTTGAGTTTTCCTAGTATAGTGGCTACCTTTTGTGTTGTGATTCTCCCAAGGTTTATATGAGTTGGTATAAGTGTTATGACTAAAGCACATGAGGAAAGTCAAACCCAAGCTAATTCATTGGGTGAAGAGGTTCTCAAAGTTTAAAATACATTGAGCAGCTTATTCTCTATATGTGAGAGTCAATATTATCATCCCTTTAAGAGTCAACATCCAGGTTGACTTTCACTCTAGTGGCACTGACTCGATGATTGTCCTTGCTCTTTTGGCAACTCCACTCACTAATATTCGGCATGTTGTACTTTAATCCAACCTATATACAGTCCTTTTTGTACTCAACGAGAGCACCAACTGTTATGACTTAAGCAAATGAGAAGAGCAAATCCAAAAGACTAGTCCATCGGGTTACAAAAACCCAAGGTTTAAGTACTGCATTGAACATTTTATTCTACTCAATGCGGGACTCATAACATCTTCTATTAGTCTAGCATTCAGAAACAAAAAATTAATTTTTCTCTTTCTTCCTTCATGACTATTTATATTTAGGAGAAAAATCCAACCTCACTTACATTTGCCATTATTTTTACACCCCAACAATTTTGAAAACTAGCATAAAACCCTTGAAAGCTACAGCTACCTACCACAAAAACTTACAGTTTACACAAACATCCCATGGGTTTTCATGATTTTTCACAAACCTCTCCAGTTCAGGGAAGACTTGGGACATACCGGAATACTCTAGGGAAGTTATGAAGATTAAGGAATCTTTTATTATAATGCTATTATATTCTTTCACACACATGAATAATTTAACCATTCTATGGTTCAAACTAAGCCTTCAGATTTTTCTTCCTCATCCAAAGGCAAAACATCTGAAATTATGGTCAACAGAGATTGACTTCCAATCTCCTAATTGAAAGCTTTTATTCTCCTCTGTTCATAATTACATAGTTATCAGTACATGAATCAAGAATGTGATTGTGCACATGATCTAACGCTAACAACATATAATGGAATGGCTTGCATCATGAATTCATGATAATTAGAAATAGTCCAAACAGGTAATTTGAAATATGAGAAGAAAATAGTCAAAAGCAATCAAATATTACAGAAAAGAAAAACTCACTCAAAAGCAAAGAGAGAATGAGAAAAAGGATCCCGGCACATGAGTAAAGTATTAACAGCTTGCAGCGATGAGGGTACACAGGAAATAAGCAAATAGCCAACGTTAACACAGGCCAGAAAAATGAGAGGAGTGTCTGCCACAGTGGATGACGTTTGACAAACGTCCATGCAAAAAAGGCATCATTTTCAGAAAATACTTGTTCCTGCCAAAGACAATCAAATTTTGTTAGATTCAAAAGAAAGAAATCTAATCATTTAACCTGAAGCATGGAATATGCATTTAAACTACATGAATAGCTTACAATGCTCATATGTATCTTTCCTAAAGTTTTAAAAAGCTATTATCTTTACTCTTTTTCAAGATTAAAAACATCCTTGATTGCAAAAATACACAAGGTAAAATATAATTGTTTCAGTATACCAAATAATTCATCGTAGGATTAATTAGAATTCAAAAAACAGACACCCATTAAACATACCTATACTAGATATAACTGAAAAGAATAGATGACCACACCCCAAAAAATGAAAAAAAACAAATGGCCAACAAATTGGTTGATTGAATCATCAGCATCGTTATTTATCAATCTCAGATAATACCACGTAGCAGCTTACCCCAAAACTGCAACAGCGGTGTAGTGTATAATGGGAAGGCCACTATTGTTATATTTGTTATACAATTTATATAATTTATAATGCGCAAAATTTTATTTAAAAACTATTAAAAATTCATGATATCTTCATAATCAACAATTAAAAGTCAAATGAACACTGGAATGTGGCCAGAAACAAAATGCATCCAACACCAGAAGAAAAGGTTGCAGTTGCTGGAAAAGGATTGGAATCTCTGGAAATCTGTCAGAGAAGATCTACGATGACAGTGGGTGGGAGTCTTTCTGAATTCAAAAAGAGTGGGTGTTTCCAAACAGAGGGTAGGAAACTAGTAAAAGCTTAACTTTTACTTAAGATCTGAAAAGGGGATAAAATATCATTTTTAGCCAATTGTAATTTTCTCTTAAAATCCTTCAATCAATTTATCTCAGTTCCAATTCTCATCCCTGACAGCATAACTGCAGAAATAAGGCGGGAATCCCCCACCCATTAGCAAGAAAAGAAAATAAGGATTTGATTAACAGTTTGTGAGGATAAGGAGATAAACATCAAACAGGTCAGCATGGTAATGCCAGAATAATTATGAAATATTGACAAATCCCCATGCAAGCACATCATGTTAAACCCTTGGATATAACCATTGCAACTCAATAATTGAAAGACTCAAACCAAAAAATAAAAAGCACTCACAGGGAAAATTTCCAAATGTGCAGGCCAGGTAGACAACTTTTTCTTCCCGGGACGAACTGTTTTTACAACACGATCACACCGCACTAAAAGACTTTTTGCAAGTAGAATGTTGGCAATCTCCTCTGTTTCTAAACTCCTATCTGATTCTAGGACATCCTTGAGCTCTGGATGGTTTTTCAAGAAGTTCCCGAAATCCTTCCCTCGAAAATACTCGACACGCGTCTCCTGCAGCACAGCCCACCTGGAAACCAAATCCTTATGGTCTCTCACCTTCTCAGCAAATACCTGGAACACATCTTTCTTGGCAGCTTGTTTCTGAGAACAAATCAATCCCAAAAAACAGTCACAAAATAACACAAACAACACTTTCTCGTCAAATTAAAATGGTGCAAAAAAAAAAACAAAACCAAAATTAAAAAAACACAGCATAAATCAACATGACCAGCAAAACAACATAGAAAATCACGGATTGACATGAACTCTTGATCAACAAATCTAAAAACAAACACAGACGAGATCATATGCCAACAATAAAGACCACACTACTGTTTCGAGTTACCCTACCTTGAACAATTACAATCACATCAAGAATCTTATCTTGAAAGGCAAAATGCCATGCAAAAATTGAGCTGAAAAAAATCAGATAAAATAGGTTTTGGCATAATTCATTTAAGATATGCTTATAGCTGCGAGGTAGCGAAGTTCCAATCAGTACATTACTGAAACCCAAGCCCGAAATGATAATTGAAATAGAAAAATTGAAGAGATATATAGAAAATGGAGTAGAAAACGCGTTGAGTAGAGAATGAGAATGAGGAGAAAAGTGTAGAGAGAATGAAGAAATGGGAAATGGAAAACCCTAACCCTAAACCTAACCCTAACCTTAGACCTGGGAGGGGCATCAGAGGAGGGATCGGGTGCGGAGGAGCGTCGCACCCTCTTCTTGTCAGCTGCGGCTCCTGAAGTCTTCTTCATTCTCTCTATCTCTCTGTGTCTCTCTCTGTTACCCTATGGCCTATGTTCTCTCTCCTTCTTCTCTTTCTCTAACATTTTAATAACAACTCAACTGAATCTTAAGATTCAAGTTCAAAAAACCAATGTTACAATTTATTTATTGTTTTTTTAACGTGTATTTATAGATATGTATTAACAAATTAAAAAATATTAACATTATTTTATTGAATATCATTAATATATTCAATTTTATAATTTTTTATTAAAGACAATCAAAATTAGGTTAAAATATAACACTTAGTCTATATTAAAAAACTTATTTTGTTTATTTATTTAATATGTCTAAAAATATATTATAAAAATATTTTTTATTAAATATAATATTTAATGCTATTAATATTTAAATTATTTAATATTTTATAATTTTTAATAAAAACATTTTTAATGTTTTTATGTAACCTTACATATACATAAATAAAATTATTTATTTATATGTGTTAAGTAATGGATACAAAATTCAAATAAAAAAATAATTAGAAACCATGATAAAATATAGCAAAAGTCACAGAAAAATAAAAGATATTTATTAATAAAAATAGTTTAAATTTTTTAACCAATATACTTGCATTAGCATTTAACCTTGTTTAATTTTTACCAAAAAAAAAAACAAATTTGTTATTATCAATATTTAACCTAACAAATTTTTTTTATAGTCTTGTCAACGTTAAATTTTAAGCGTATAAAATAACTAATTTTTATTACAAAAATAAAATTATTTGTTATATTTTTACATATTTTACATAATAATACTTACTTTTCTTTTTTCAAGTTAATAGAACTTTAATTATTAGTTATATATATATAAATGAATTTATTAAAAACGACAAAATTCACTAAATAATCTTTATGCTTAAAAAAGAAAATAATTTTTAACTGTCGACTAAAAAAATACTTTTGATAATTTTATTTTATATATATATATATATTCTTACTTCAAATTTTGTAAATTTGTCATAAACTTGTTGCCTTTCCTTGTTAGAAGGAATGTAAGCTTTCATTGTTAATAAGTAGATGCAATGAAAAAAATTAAAAATGTAAGGCTCCATAAATTTACATATAACGTTGTAAAAGAATATTCGTGTGAATATCCTAGTTCTAAATTCTTAGATATATCTAATACCAAAGTAAAAATATATTGTATTTTTATTTTCTTCTTTGTATATTTGTTTTTTTATTTTATTTTTAAATTTTAAAAATATTTAATTTTAGTCTCTTTTATTGATATATTTTTTAAAAAATGTGACATGTAATACAAAAATGTGAACAATGATTAAAATTATTATTTTTTAAAACACAAAAATGAAGAAATATTTTATAAAGACTAAAATTAAAATGTATTTTATATTGTGACGAAAATGCCCTTGATATTCCTATGTATAAGCCCATGCTACCAAACACTAATATTGAAAAATATCAAAGGTCATTATCATGATGGCACTAAAGACATAACATTATCTTCAATTCCTTTGCTTGAGCTGTGTTTTGGGCATTTGGGTGTGTGAACAGTGAAGAGAGAGTTCATTCCCATATTCAAATGTTCTTCTCTATGAACCTTCTTTGCTTCTACAAGCAGCCACCAACACTGTTTGCACCACTTTCTACTCAATTAATACCCATTAATGAAGGCATTTTCAAGGACAAGAGGTTGATCACAAATCCTTCATCTTTTGGCACAGTTCATGCAGTGAAGGAAGATTCACAATCACAGCAATATGAGATAGACCCAGAAAAGGCCAGAGAAGCACTCAAAAAACTTGATGAGCAAATTCAGTCTCAATCCACCAAACAAATCTCTTCTCCAAAAGTCAGGGGTACTCTCTTTCTTTCATCACTTTTTCTTCTAGATCAGTATTAATCAATATTTTAAGGACACCAATGAATACCAATTATATATATATATATATATACACACATTGAAATGCGTTTTCTGTATTATTTTAATATCATTTTTTCGAAAAATTTAACCAGTTAGTACTGCTATACTAGTTGCATTTTTCTTTTCATTCTCAACTCATAATTATAATTACTAATATAATTTGTTTCCATTCTTAACATTTAGGTTACATTTTTTTAACCTTTGTCTATTATTTACTCCTGGGCTTACATATTTTCAGTGTATGTTGATAGTTCGTTTGAAAAATACTATAAACGACTCATTAATATGTATTTTTTCTAAATTTCTTGACCATAAATAAAATATGGTTGATTTAATAAATGTCATGATAAATATCATCAAACACATGGTTATCTAACAGAAATTGTTTAGTTTTATTTGATTAATAACATATTTAATAATAAATATTTCATTGATTACTGAGATGCATGTTTTCATGGAACCCTTTGCAGATTCGGACGTGAAGCTTACTGAAGAACAAGTAAGTGGTACTGATGGGAAGCTAGAAATTTCAGATTCGTTTCTTCTAAGTCTAACTACTGGTCTCGTCCTCTTTACTATATTTTATAATATACTATTTTATACTGTAATTAAGCCATCCATTGATGGTGCATGACTTTACATAGAACTACATGGGGAAAGCATAAACTTCATAGCATAAGAACTATGCTATATACATGTAATAGAAAATATTTGGACTATATTATCAGTTTTCTCACTACTTACTCTCATATTCTGAATTTGATGTCACTTTGAAAGAAACTACCTTCATTTGTAAATTTAATTTTGGAGTGAAGGAGGAAGGAACAAAGACTTGTGGGAGATTAATTTTTCTGCGTGGAAGTTTTTTAAAATAATGAAAAAGGATTTAAAATTTGTAGATATCTTTTATTTCTTTTATATATATATATATTGACTTTCTTAAAATTTTAAATTTTTTTAACATTCAAACAATAAAAAAATTACCAAACACTTGAATCAATTAGCAAAAAGTTATTTCAATTCAATATGTATCTTAAATTTTAATCTCATTTAGTGTAATTATGTTTAGTATTTAAAGATAATTTTGTTATTCATAATAATTTTCAGTAGTTAAAAAGAAATAATTAAACTCATTTTTTTAATTTTTTTCATTTATTATCTCACCTCTTAAATATTTTTTTTAAATATTCTTTTAAAATTTTAAATAAAATTTAAATATATCTTTAGTCTAAAGTTATATAAAATTAATTTTAAATCTTTAAATATGATTAAAATGTGTGTATAGATTAATTTTTATTTGAAAGTACATGAATTAATTTTCTAATTTTAAATAAAAAAAATCTTAATAGACTACCACGTTAGATGGTAGCAATTTATTTTTGCCTTTTCTCAACATCGATTTAATGTACTCTGCAAACGAACACTAATCTTATAAATTCCCTACGCTACAACATTGTTACACCCCACGTTCGAAGCGAAGCCTCAAATTGAACTTTCCCATCTAATTATTGTCATATAAGTGAGCTTATACGACCATTTTTTAAGAAAATAATATAAAGTTTTTTCAACTCAATCTTTAAAAGCTAATTAATTTAGAAATTGACTGGTTGAACTGAAAATCGGTTAAATAATCTCCATTCTAATTTTTTATTTGTTCAATAATTAATCAAATTATTAAAATTAATTGCAATGATATTTTTTTATTAAAGTGTATATATATATAACACTAAAAAATATATATATTTTTATTTTTGAAACAGACTATACTTTTATTTAAATCATGACACATTAATATGTATGATTTTTTCCTATTTTAATTTTTGGATAAAAATTGTAAAATTAAAAATACTAACAACAAAAGGATTAAATATTACAGAAAATAGAAATTTCGCTCCAATCGCACGGCAGTGAAGGACCCAAAAGGAAAAAAAATGGAGAATGTACACTGGGAGGGTAACGAAAATATGAATTATGATTATTTTAAGACTTAATTAAGTAATTAATTTTAAAAAATATATTATTTTAGTTTTTATAAAAATTTATTCAATTTTAATTTTTATATTTAAAAAATACGTGATAAAATGAATAAATTTTTCATAAAATTTGAAATTAACAATTATAATATTTTTAGTCACTAAATCCTTATTCTAGTAATATCGATACTCATTTAGTACTTTTTTTTTTATCTTTAATAATATTACTTACCGTATCTGTTAATTCAATTTCTCTTGGTAAAACGAAGCACTTAAAAATAAACGTTTTCCTCTGGAATATAAGTTTTGGTTTTGAGTCTCAGTAAGAAGATTGCTCTAAAATTTAGTAGGTAAAATCATAGTCATCTCTCTATTCCAATTCCGCCATCCTCGGTTACTACTGTTAACAACAATCACAGTTCGTGAATCTTTCAACTCAAGCCTGAGGTCAGATTCTTTGCTTCCAACATGGACGAACAAATCCCATTTAAGAATCTCCATAGCAGAGAGTATTCGGGTCACAAGAAGAAGGTACCCTATTCCTCTCTCTTTCTCATTCATGGTAAACACGTTTAAAGTTTGAAACTTTTCGTGCTTGTTGTGCTTGAATGGTTCAGTTTATGGGAAAAACAAGTCATTTCTCAATGTTTCTGTATGAATTTTGAAATGGTTATTTTTGTTTCCTTTCCTGAAGGTGCATTCTGTGGCCTGGAATTGCATTGGCACAAAACTTGCTTCTGGTTCTGTGGATCAAACCGCTCGAATCTGGCATATTGAGCCACACGGGCATGTAAGCTTACTTCTAATTGGTTTCACTTTGTCTAAATTTTCTATTAATGATGTATCTCGTGATAAATCTCAGAATAATAGCTTAGGGACTGTTTGGTTTTAAAAAAATTGTTTTCATTTTTACTTTTAATTACAAAGTTGGCACTTTATTTTCATTCTGTTTTCAAATTTAATTATTTTGTGGTTTGAAATTTAATTATTCTGTTTTGTGTGTGTTGGCGGGGGGTGTTCTTATTATAGGGTAAGGTCAAAGATATTGAATTGAAGGGTCATACTGATAGTGTTGATCAGCTATGCTGGGACCCCAAACATGCTGATCTGATTGCAACTGCATCCGGCGACAAGACTGTTCGATTGTGGGATGCTCGTAGTAAGTGATCATTCAGTTGTAGAATTTTAGTTTTTTATATCAGAAGCAAATAGAATTACTATGGACTTCTGTATTTTGGGAGACTTGTAATGCATTTTATAGCTATAAGATAATTTTTTTTTGGGCCATAGGGGGTTTGAAAAAAGAGTTGCCCATATTTGATTTGTGCAGGTGGAAAATGCTCTCAACAGGCAGAACTTAGTGGGGAGAATATCAACATCACCTACAAACCTGATGGGACTCATGTAGCTGTAGGTAATAGGGTATGTGTCGCAATCCCTTTCATTTTGTTTAAGCTCTGAAGTGAGGATATGGTGACTGGATATGTCAATATCAACTATATCTATTTATGTTTGTATTGTTTCTTGTTCTGGAATGGAATCATTAGCTTTCTAGTTAATAAATAGATTAATCTTGATGTTTTCTTACTGTTTTTCAGCACATGAAATTATACCTTGTTGTTTTTGTTTTTCATAGGATGATGAATTAACAATACTGGATGTTCGGAAGTTTAAGCCAATTCATAGGCGCAAGTTCAATTATGAGGTATTACCCAGTTTATACTTCATTCTTGCTGTCTAGTCTGTTTGACGGTTTGTTGAAGCTTATTTTGAGATTAAGAAATAATACTGAACCTTGAAAATTTTCAGTGATTTGTCTTTATTCCATATTCTCATTTGATATAAATTGTGAATGTGCAGTGCCTTTGCCAAATTAATTGGTAAAATACATATGTCTGTTTTTCTTCTCTTTTAAACAACTCAGCTATGTTCAGGATTGGAGTCGACAGAACTAAATTCCCTAGTATCAAACCATCAGAATTAACCATGACTTTGCCTACTTTTGCTTTGTTTGACTTCCATATTGGTCAAATTTGAGTGACTTGTAAGTTGTAACTGCCATGTCTTCAAACCCAATGTGTTTGTTAAAAATATAAAAAACTGTTGTTTATTATACTTACCACCATGCCATTGCAAGTTTTAAGGATTCACCTAAAATGGAGAAGAGTATTACTATGGACTACTGCATAATACCCCAATTGTCAAAGACTTAAAGTATTGTCTCATTTGGTTGCACGAGTTCTTTGACATTGTCACCATAATGCTTTTGCTTCCTAACACTCACTCTCACTTCCTGAACTGCCTGTGTTTTCTGGTTCGTAGTTTTTGTTTTCTTCTCTTTTGGCATTCATCTCACCTGAAGTTACAATTCCTTCAGCATCATTAATTATTATATTGTTCTGGAGTTCACTGTTTTGCACAACTGCACTAAACTTATGCCTGATTTTTGGGGTTTCATACTTGTCCATGTATTACATAGTTTCAATACTTAAAACTGTAAAGCCTTGCAGTTTAGCACAATCGGAGGCATTGGTTTAGCTCTATTGAGAAGAATTAATTGTTATATACTAATAACTCCTTTTTCTAACTAGGTCAATGAGATTGCTTGGAATATGACGGGTGAAAAGTTCTTTCTAACAACAGGAAATGGTGAGGTCATTGTTTGACTGGGTACTTTCTATAATATGAATATCATATAAATACATTTTGTTTTGCTGGGCTCGCATAAAGTATCCTATATTTTGTTGCACGCTTACACACTTAGGGACTGTGGAAGTACTGTCTTACCCATCTCTTCAACCTCACGATACTCTCATGGCTCATACCGCTGGTTGTTATTGTATTGCAATTGACCCAATAGGAAGGTATTTTTCCAATTTTTCGTTATTTTTGGTATTGATAATTGGACTTGATGCAAATGCACAACCATATATTTGGTCTAAATAGAATCTATTAATGTATTTGAACATAACAAATAGATATTGTCATGTTGAGGCAGATATTTTGCTGTTGGAAGTGCTGATTCCCTTGTCAGCCTTTGGGATATCTCAGAGATGCTCTGTGTGCGTACCTTCACAAAGCTGGAGTGAGTTTTCCTTGGCTTTCATGTTTGTGTATTCAGCTTTTGTTGTTCAGGTTCAATCGATTGTGTTTCTTGTGACAAATGTGCAATGCTATGTTTCTCAGATGGCCTGTCCGGACAATTAGCTTCAATTATACTGGCGATCTTATTGCTTCTGCAAGTGAAGACTTGTTCATTGATATTGTAAGTTATTCACGACATTTTCAATAATTCCTTTATTTTTTTTCATTTTATAGCACATTCTTTGGCAAACTTGGTAATGTCATTTTGAAAAACTTGGTTTCATTCATCTATCAATCTAATTTGCATTAAAAGTTTGCTACTTTATGAAACAGTCAAATGTTCAATCTGGAAGAACAGTGCATCAAATTCCTTGTAGGGCTGCTATGAACAGTGTTGAGTGGAATCCCAAGTACAATTTGCTTGCATATGCTGGTGATGACAAAAATAAGTATCAGGCTGATGAAGGTAATAACTTTTTGGGTACCTGCATATGGATACACAAATATCATATGAGGCTGCAGTTAACTTGTGTGCATTTTGTTTGCAGGTGTTTTTCGAATATTTGGTTTTGAAAGTGCTTAGTATTTGGCAGAGGCATCATTTACTAGCATTTGAGAATGCAAACAAAGGGAAAAGAGGATACTTCTTGTTTGTTGACAGAATTAGTACTGGTTGTAATGCCGGACTGAGAGCCTAATGGAGGTTGATTTGTAATTTGAATTAGATGATTTAGATTAATCTTGCTACTTTTTGTTTGCCCTTAGAACGAGACATTCACAGATATGAATAGGATGAAAAGGATTTTTTTAATAGTAATTTTATGGAAAAATGAAAATCATTCAACAGTTGCTGCTTATTGCAATGCTTTGGTTTTTAGCAATATTTCTGCTCCTTCTTTTACAGGGCTGAAGCTAAATTAATTATTAAGGGCCCACAAACTGGCATTCGTTTTATTTCCAAACCATGTAAACTATATAAAATTCTGTAGTGAGAGGGAAGAAGCTTTATTGTTTGGATTTCCAAATTATGCTTTCATATATCTTATTATATGGAATTGGTGTAGTGATTAGTGATTAGGTTGATCGCAATGTAAAAAATTCCTGTAGAATTTACATATTTTATTATATGTGTAAGGACATCGAGTATTGTAGAGTGGCACTTGATTGCCATTCATTTTTACTCTTTAGTCTTCTTTCGTAGTTCGCATTGATTATATCAATCCTAAGGAGTCTTGTTTTTTATTTAAACAATTCTATGGAAAATCGGTTACTTAAAGGAATGAATAAAGGATTCGTATTTTTCTTAAACAATTCCATGGAAAATGGATTTATGCGTCACATTTATGCAACGACTTCTATATGAGATATGAAAAAGGACAAATTATATTCACACATTCTAAAGTTTAATAAAAAAATTTTCTCATACAGATATTTCTTTGTTTAGGGGACTCTTAAGATATGATGCAGAATTCAAGTACTGTATAATCTCGCAAAAAGGGATTCATTATTTTTTATTCTGCTTCACCCTTAATTGTTATTTGTAGTAAAGTAATATCCAGTGAGAATACCATTTCTCTTAGATATGAAAAAAGGACAAGAAATTCACACATTCTAAAGTTTAATAAAATTTTATCTCAGAATTTTTTTAAAAAATTTATAAAAATTTAAGTTTATCTAATAATTTGCATGTAATAATATGTGTGCATATCCTTCTTGATTACATAAATTACTCCTTACTTTCTATTCAGTTATATTAAAGAGGGTATATTACATTCACGATCCATGGATGTTTTAATAATATGTGTGCATATCATGGCATTCTATTCTTGATTACATAAATTACTCCTTATTTTTTATTCAGTTATATTAAAGAGGGTATATTACATTCACGATCCATGGATGTTTTAATAATATGTGTGCATATCATGGCATTCTATTCTTGATTACATAAATTACTCCTTATTTTTTATTCAGTTATATTAAAGAGGGTATATTACATTCACGATCCAAGAATGTTTTAATAATATTACATTCTTGATTAAAAACTTTTCTTAATTTATGTAAAAAAAACCATAACATGGCATACTATTCTAACAAATTATTCCTAAATTTTTTATCCAGTTAGGAAATATAATTTTCCCCAAAAATGTTTTAGTGACGAGAATATGAATTAGAAATATCATTGATTGGTTTAACATTGGCTATATTTTCTTGGTAAGAGAATAAATATCTTAATGACACTTCTATAACCAAGTAGATCGTTCTGCTGCTTTGTGATACAAGTTCCAAAAATGAATTGTATCCTTTTATTCCGCAAGATATTCCAACAAATAGCATCATACAAAGAATCAAAATTGGAGCAGCACGTTGTTTGCATTCTAGATAGAGTTCCCAAAATTGTAGATAATATCAAAACAGCACACAAGAGGTGTTGCTTCACTTCAAAATAGAATTACGCTCTTGAAGGATCTCTCCAGTCACAATAACGTACTTTGAGACCCTCCCCATCAACTAACTCAGCAAATCAGCAACACAATCATCAAAGGAAACCTTCTCAATTGGGACCTGAAACCTTGTATCAAAAATCATCATCATGTGTCTCCTGTCTCTCATATATGGTCCAGTAGTATAGCATATATGCTCCAGCCCCTCCTTGTAAAACTTGAAGCTTGCATTGAAATCTGAGGGCTTTTTTGGTAGCACATCTCTTATTAACGTTATGATTCAAAAGGGTTGCATAATCTATCGGACCAAAAATGCTTCATTCCCCAGCAGAGGCTAAAAAATTGCAAGAGAAACCATAAAAACAAAACTCATTCAGGCAACAAATTATGAGTGAGAATTTCCAAATTACAAGAGAAACACTTTTATAATTTTCAATAAATTTTAATCAAAATAAAAAGTATATTAGAGTGTGCTGTGAGTATTTCTTGACACCAGTAACATAACATAAATAAAAAAAGTTGAGAAACTTTACCACACGTCCCTCAGCAACATCCATCCAAATGCATGCTCCATCATCCATCATCACAAGCCACAAAGAACAAACTTGGAAGCAGGAAAGGCCAAACCTGTAAAGCAAACAAGACAAATGGTGAGTAAGTTCTTAGAACACCAAGTGAGTGGCTTCCACTTGATCTCAACACTTGAACTCTTCATCCTCTTTCCACTCTGAGGCTCCTTAGACAAATCAAAGCTTGCCCCTTTCATCCTCAACTCCTGTATGCACCTAGCCAAAGCCCTTCCATCATTCCTCTCCCTTTGCAACTGCCCCCACACCTTCCAATACCTATGCACCTTCATTTGAACCAAGAACACAAACACAAAGGAAGTGCAAAGGGACACCATGGAAGGAACCCACCACTTCTTACAAACACTTTGGTCGTGGTGTTGGTCACTATTAGTATTATCCCATGAAGTGAACAAGAGAATAAAGAAGAACCCATGAAAGATGAAGAAGAATGAGGACAATTGAAAGAGTTCAGCTTTGATTGAATCCATTCTGGTCTCTTTGTGGGCAATGCGTTTTGCAAAGAGATCTTCTTCTCTTTGCCATAGCTTGAGGAGCAAAAGGTGACCAGGGCTTTCTGAGATCTCAGTTAAAGGGTGGTCCTCTATGGCCTCAATCATGTTGTTGGTCATTGAACACAAGAGATTCTTGTGGTGATTTTGATGATGATGCTCTTGATCTACAGGGATTTCTACTATGTGGGTGTCTTTTGATGCTCCCATTGTTGTTGTCTTTGTTCACTATAACTAAGAACGAATAGTACTAAAACAATGAACAATGATTGTTGAAAAATGAATTGAACAAAGAAGAATGTGTGATTGCACAGTGAGAGAAGATTGAGAATTTGTTGTTACAGATAGCAGAGAGAGAAAGAGGAACGTCAATGAGAGAGAGAGAAAGACATTTGTAACGTTATATACCATTCTGATTCTCAACGGATACATTTAAGGTTCCAACGGTAACATTGCTCTGTACTCTCTCTCTCTCCTAATCTTAACGGACACTTCTTTAGATTCATTTTCACATCATGTCATGGAAAATTAGGAGTTGCCAATAATAATTTTCAATTTACCGAAAGGGAATTTTTTATATATAACATTAACATTAAACACAATTAAATATTTTGAATTATTAGATACTGTAAGTATTTAATGACTTCTGCCTTAGATGTGGATTTAAGAATAACATTTTTTTTCATAAACATTTTTTATTAATTTCTTTTCTTATCTTATATTCGTATACACATGATAAAAAATCTAAGGAAATTAGAAACTTGAAAATAAAATTAGTTTGGAGAATAATCTTGATAAGGATAATCCTGAACAATTTAATAATAATTTTTTTTTCTTTTAAAGTTAACTAATGCAAAAATTCACAAAAGCAAAAAATTACAAAATGAAAGATTTGATTTTCTTGTTAATGTATATATTTAATAAATAAAAAATATTTTAATAATTTAAAAAAACGCTTACATGAAATCCAAGATAAACATCAAGATAATAAACACTTATAATTTAAACTAAATTCAAGGTAACGCTGAAATATACAATTAAATTTTAGTTTATACAATTTGCTTACTTTTTTATTAAATTATTTTATTTTAATATATTATTTTATTTAAAATTCAAGGTAACATTCCATGATCACTAACTTCTGGTTATGGATAGTTTCCAAGAATTAAAGATGGTAATCAATTCTTATTATTTTTAAGTTGCTTTTTTTATAAATTTTAATAATTATAAATTAGATTTATAAACAATAAGATTATTTTAATATAATTAATTATAAGTATATAAAATATTAAATGTTGATTTAACTCAATTTTATATAAGTATATAAAATAATAGATAGATAGATTATTTTTATAGAGATAAAAAAAAACTATGAAAGCCTCTATTGAACCTTACAAAAAGAGTTTATTTAAAAATTGATAAAAATGATTAAATAAAGATAATAGCAAAAATGCATGTCACTAAATCAAAATCACGCAATTATAAAAATAAAACTACTAATTTTATTTTATTTTTATCTTTGGTTAGCTTTTTAAACATGAGAAGAAAACTACTTCAATTAAGCCAACGAAAATTCCAACTTTTTATTTACCATTATTATTGTTATATTTCATTCTTGCTTACTTGTCTAGTCCCATTTTTTTATTATTTCCTTAATTCTATTTTTGTCACTTCAAGTATTCATATATTTTTAACTAAAAAAGACCCAATCCTTAGTCCATTTTGACGTCGCCCACTAAACTTGAAGAAGCAGAAAGAACAACTTAAACCCAACTAAAACAGTGGTTTTTTTTTATTTTTGGTCAACAAAATAGAGGATTCTACCCTCTTTGAAAGCATGGACTATTTAGTTGGGCCTTTTTCTTTTTACACTAGTTTTTGAGAAATCAATTTTTGGGTGACAAAACAATTTGGAAGTGATTATTTTTGCAAATTTATTTTTTTGAAAAAGTTGTGTGATTGGTTAAAATTGTGGCTCCAAAGCACGAAGGTAAGGAGGCTTTGCAGAAAGCTAGCTCTGTTTTGGGTTGGGTTGTGATTTTATGATATTTTTATTTGTTTATGGACTGTGTATTTGATATGACAAAAAAAAGGGCTAAGGTTTGAGTATTTATATTTTTAAAATAGACTCAGCCTTAGACTCATACTTGTACTTTTTCACTTAAATGAAGGAAATTTCTTTCAAAATTTATTAAATTAGTATAACTTTATATATATATATATATATATATATATATATATATATTATATAGGGTATGTTTAAAATACAGTTTAATTAAATGCTTATTTAATAAACTTTTGTTGCATGAAGACTTGTACTAAAAATTTAATTATATATTTTTTAGAAATAATTTAAAATAAGCAAAAAATTTCTTTTACAATTTATAAGGTATTTTAATTATTTTTTCATAATTTATCGAATAACCCTAAATTATATTCATAAGTATGACTTGCCCTTGTTTTTTTTCACATAAGTAAATTTGTTGCAATTTTAGACTATTGAAAGATACTCTGAAATTTTTACAAATTATTTAAATTTTTTAAGTAACTATATATATCCATATTTAAATTTATTTAATGAGCAATTTTACTTTCATCATAAATAGTTCTATGAATATTTATTACGTTTGAATTCAATTTATATTTCTAGTGAAGACTCGTACTCGGTTAGGTGACTTTTTTTTTAAAATAACAATAATAAAATTAAGATATGAATAATTTTTCTATTTTTGTAAAATTTTAATTTTAATCTCTCAAAATATTTTTAATGTGACTAATTAAGAAATTGTCGTATGTCACTAAGTCATGTTAAAATGTTAATTTAAAAAAAAGAACTAAAATAAAAAATAATAAAGAAAAAAAATGACAGGAAAATGTAATATAATGAAGAATATATTTAAGCATAAAATGGAAGCAACATGAAATAGCTGAAACAACAGACAAGAATGACATGAAAATGTTTGAAAAGTATAAATGGTACAGAATCAATGAGATGAAGATGCTCCCACCTTTTTGCCCAATCTTCAGAATTGACACTAATTTTCACGTCGTTTTTCAATCTTTCTTAAACGAATATCCCCTCTCCTTTCCTCAATTATTATTATCCAAATTATTCTTCTCCACTCAATTCTTCAGCTACAAACTATCTTCTTCCTCTGTCTCTCATCACTCTTAGTTATTCAATTTTATATCATAAAAACTTTGATAAATTGTGTATTCATTTTCTAAAAGACTCTGATTTTTGTCAAATAAAACCCACTTAAAACTCACTAAATAATTAAAAATAAGAAAATAAAAAATAGTTTGATAGGTAAGTAGATTAATAAATATTTATATTTTATTTTTAATTAAAAATTATGTTTAACTTGTCGTTAAGTTGCATTTCAGTAGATTAAAACGAGACACGTTAAGTGACTAATGGATGTAGAATCTTCATCCCAACTTTTCATTTTTAATGAGTTATGCGAGTGAGTCCATTGATTCAACCTACTTTTATTCCCCTAATTAGTAAACAGTAATGATAACATAAACAAAATGTTCTTAAATTATTCTCATTTATAAATAAACTTTATAATTCATTTTTATCTTTTTTACTTTTTATCATGTCATATTATTTACCATTACACATTTTATAATTAAAAAAAAAAACTATGAGATTTATAAACTATATTTTTTAATAAGATCCTAGTGAAATGTTTGGAACATCTTCATAGTTTGTCAAAGAAAGCTAATCTTGTGGGTGATGGGTATATGTTTTTTGAAGCAAAGCATTTGGATTAATTATCATTGATCCATCCAAAAGTTTTATTAAACAAAAACTTGGCCATCAACTATGATGATGGATGCTTCTAGAGTCCATGTAAAGCACAAAACCAAGCTTATCTTGTAACCCTTATGAAAGGACAGAACAAGTGCCATAAATGAGAGAACGTATGCCCCCCTATATGCCTATTCATGCTGCTTTATTTTGTTCCATGACAATAAAAGGAAAGAAAATACATGTTATTGCATGCCTTCTTTTTCTTTCATAATTGTTTGGGTGCTGATTGAAACTTCTTCTTTAAATCTCTATCACACATTAATTTATATTAATGAAGGGAGCAGGATCACCCTTTACTTTTCCGACTAAATTAAGCACATTTGTTAACGGAGGACATCCCAATAATGAGTCACCTACACTATATATAAATAATTAGTATTTAATAAAATAATAAATTATAACCTGTTAAATATAAATTAAATAAAAGTATACAAATTTTTACAAAGTATACACAGTTATAAGAAGATCTTTTTTCATATTTCTGTATTAACTTAACTTGTAATATATAGGTGTTTATATGTATTATACAATTGCACATTTTAAAAAATTCGATTGATCAAAAGTGTAGAGGGAGAGAAGCATTAGAAAACAAAATTGAATTATTTTTAACATTAGTCAAATAGGTGCATGATAGCCTCTTTGAACAACGAAAATGTCATGATTTCTCAGCCTTTGGAGAAGATGGATGCCAAAATGTTACAGGCTCGTCATTATAATTAAACAAACGTTTCTAAAGATTATTTGTACATAATTGTATAGAGGCATATATTGCCTTTGTTTTCGTTTGATTTGATTCGTTTACTTTTATAACTTTATTCCATAATTACAAAATTCAGAGGTTCTCCTTATATCAGTAATGCACCGGAGTATTTTTTGCAAAAAAGAAAAAAAGTACTAAACAAAATCTTGAAAATAGTGTATTTTTTTTTATAATGTGATATCTATAAATTTGAGAAAATATTAAATACTTTTTTTAATATTTTAATTATCAAATTATATTTTTTTTAAATAAATTACCAACTTTTTTCTCTCTTAATATAAAATTAACGATAATAATTATTCAATACGTGATAAGGTACATAATAATTTTATAATTTAAAAAAATATTATAAAAATTATCTTTGTTTGAATAGATGATTAGATTAGTTATATAATTGAACAGATATGAAGCAAGCGATTTGAACTATTTTAAGATCGGATTCAACCATGTGAACCAATATACCAAGCTAATGAACTAGTATCTCTAGTTAAACACAAGTTACGTGAAATTTTTAAGATTGAATATTTATTGGTTTACTCAACGTTAAAAGTAAAAACTATCATACTATATTAAAAATTATATCTAAGTCACTTACATAAATTAACTAAATTTTTTTCAAACTTTATATAA